GATGACTTTAAAGTGGTATCCATTCTGCCAAATTTTTTAGTAAGAATATCAAGAGCTAGAACAGGTAGCGTAACTGGTAGCGCACTTGCCCGGAGAGCGAGAGGTGCAGGTTCTAGTCCCGCCTGGGACAAAAGTTTTGTTTACCACCCAGCATTCTTGTGAAATATCAACAGCATCCAAGCTTTAAAAGCAATTCTAGCAAATAATATCTATCAAAAATAGACCATAAATAGGTAAGAGCACCCAGTTATGCCATCAGTTCCCACAGCCCAGTTACTTCCTTGTTATCGTGAGTAGAAACAGGTGGAGTTTCTTTGTGGTTCAACAACTGTTCCGGGAAGTCGATAAAATGTCTATCATAACATTTTTGAAATACTGAAAACTGCAATAAAAACTGGAACCAGGGTCAAGCATGCGGTAACAAATCCAAGATTTTATTGAATATCAAGAATCTAAATATTAAGGACTAATTCTGCTGCATCACTGTTGCATAAAGGGCTTGAAATGAGGAGTTTCGACGGAAGAACTTCATCTTCTTTTGGAATATTTTGAGCAGGATTCTCTTGGATCATTTTTGTGTACCACCACAGATATTCTCTATTACATACTCTCAATAAAGATTATTCGCAAGTTGATGCGGGAACGTTGCTCAAGTACGAGGAGGCAGGGTCAGCCGTGTGCTGAGCAACGAGTGTTCATATTCGAGTTTTTGGAGAGGGTCGTATTTGGGGTTCGTGAAGGCCAAAAGGTTTGGAAGATGGTCGTTTTTCTGAAAGCTGAAGGATCGTGATGGGGCGGAGAGGGGGGGGGGCGTGTTTGAAGGGTTTTGGCGACTTTGGCGAAGGAACGAAAGAAGCGCGAAATAGCTAAAATAGAGGTTTGCTGCATCATTTGACCCGCTTACCTCCCCGCCCTTTCGAAGAGAAGAATGGACGAAGTTTGGGCTTGCCTTATCACGGCTCATGACCATTGTGATCTCAAACATTCAAACTTTTGCCACACTATAGCTGCCTCACTCATCTAGGAGTCACTCATCCCCCTACAAGGCTTAGTCCTAGACCTCCCTCCTTGGAATTTGGAGCT